ATAATATATATATAATTATATATATATAATTATATATAAGTAACGTTGATAGAAGAAGCCACAGGAGGTCTCGGGGTTCATGCTGTATTTTTGGTCGACCTCATCCTGTGTAAGCAAGGAGACTTTGCCGAGCGATTCAAGTCCAAATAACTCGTTAGCGATGCCTGCAAGGTCGCATGGCGGAGCTTCATGACGGCCAGGCGCAATAGTGGCATATAGACCCAATACTCGCAGGAGATTCCCCCGGCCCCCCACGACGCGGGCGTATTTTTCGGCCTCTGTGGCGAGGGCCCATGCACCACCGCCGACTAACCGAAGAGCTTCGCGCACTGGCGTATTGCTGGGAATTGTAGCCCCCTGCGCCCCAGCCCGAGACCAGGGTTTGAATCCTTCGTAGGTCACCGCGGGATTGTCACGGAGTATTGGGATGTCGGGATGGGCGTCGGAATACGCAATTATTGCTCGAAGCGTGCCCCGCCGCACGCTCGAGTCACTACAGAGCGACGAAACCAAGTCCGTCGCTCGCACGAGCGCATTCAAATCATCCAGAGTCGGCGCCGGATTCGTCCGGATCGTAGTCAATGCCTTTAACGAGCGTTGGATCAAATTCGGGAAATGCACGCTGTATATTAGTGAATACATCCGTAAGCACGAGTTTCTTCAGGGCAGCTTCACGCCTAAATAGTTCCTTCTTTAGTGTCGTTTGGTTGATTGAGATGAACTCAGCCCAGGCCACATCATTCCGTAATAACTCTGCACGCTTCTCTTCCATATAATTTTTCTTCTTGAAAGCCAAGAAATTTTCTACGGCATTATCCCAATCCTTTTCCCTGGTCTCAGGATCCATTACTGCGTATTCATCGTGCCACTCAGATTGCAGCGCCTCAGGGAGGGAGATCAGATCATAAGCGCGCGCAAAGGCTGGATCAAAACTTTCTATCATCGCCTCACGTTGCTTGATGGCCGCATGCAGCACCTTGATCTGATCGTTGTAGAATTTTATCTCCTGGTTGATTGCTCGCCTGTATTTCGAGACGATACTGGCACGTTCCTTCCAGATAACTTCGCGTTGTGGATCGAATCCCTTTTCCCGGAGCTTGCGCGCGTTCTTTATGTTTTTTATTACCTCGACTTTCTTGCGATCAACCTTTATACGGAAGACGGTCTTTTCCCTGAAGTACTTCGCCACCATTCTGATGATATCACGCGAATCGTTGGTTGCGAGAGGCCGGCGCATCACGTCCTCATACATTAAGTGCATCGCCAACATGATCGCACCAGGATTTTCAAGTTCTTGGAGTAACCGATTCCAGACGGCGTTTAAGTCTTCATGCTTGTGTTGCACTACCCGCGCTTGATTCTTGATTTCACCTTCTTCATGCGATAGGAACCATTGCCACGCCTTGTTGTATTGATCAAGATTCAACTCATCCATCACGTCTCTCAAAGCACGGGCGTTTCTGAGGGCCGAAGAGAAGAGCTGGAAGGTCCAGGCGCCGTCAGCAGGTCCGCCACCGCGCCCGTTGTCCTGACTGTTATTACGTGGGCGAAGGTTATAGGGCATTGGGGCAGGGGGGGGCCCCGCATGTTCGTCAGTATCGGTTTGCATATTCGAAGGGGTCATCCTTGATTGGGCGGGCGAGAGTGGCTACAGTGAATGCACGATTGGGAAGCTTGCAGTCCAAAGTAGGCTGAAAAAGGATCGAACGGGAAAGCACAGCGCAGACTGTACGTACACCTCGTAGGTAAGCAACGACTGTCTGTGGGTACAAAGGAGAAAAAGGGATAAATGGTGAGGAAAAAAAGGGGAAAGAGAATTAAATTAAATATAATTAATTAATTATATATAAAAAGGATTTATTTTAATGTTTTTTTTGCCTTTTTATTGCTATTTAATAGGTAATAACAGGGTGCACCTTATAACAATGGCAAGCCTATGTGGCGCCTCTCCTCTCCTCTCTCGCTCTCTCACAACAGCGCTCATTTGTTGCTCTATTTAGGTCTTTTTTGCATGCATTAAAGGGGGAAAAAGGATTAATTAATTAAATTAAATAAATATCTATTTGTTTATTGTAATTTTTACCAGTTTATCCTCTTATTACGACTAAAATTACCCCTATTTAGTCTTTGTCTGTGCTCACTCGACGTACAGCTGAATAGATGTGGGCGCCTATACCAACAAATTAGGGTAATTTCTTTGTTTTTTTCTATTTTTTCTTCTTTTTATTGTTTAATTCTTTGTTAATAGGTAAAGAATTAAAAGAAAGCAAAGAAACAAAGCAAAAAAACCCTAGATAGAAGCAAAAGAGCGATCTACCGAGCACATCAAGGGTTTATACAGATATAAACCCTCATCTTTTTCTTGTATATACACCGCAAAAAAGTACTTTTTGCCTTTTTACCCCTATACTATTTATTTATATTTAATATAATTCTTTTTAATCCTTTTTTATTCTATTTATTCATCCCCTCCCTATCCTGCCGATAATGAATGCTCTTGTCTTTGTGGGACAGGTTTAGCTACCCACTATATTATTGAATAAACCCTAAACCCTAAACCCTAAACCCTAATTGGGCGAAAGAAGGAAACTATTATTGAATAGGTTGTTGTAATTTCTTCTTTCCTTTTGATTCTTTTTGTTCTTTATTCCTTAACCATTGAATATTATTTATTTATTTACTCTTTTTATATATAGTCTTTTTTTTTCTTTTTTTTTCCTTATTAATCCTTTCTTTTGTATAAGAAAAGAGGAATAAGATGGAGGGAGAAGCATCGCATGCATGGGGGGATCCGGAGGAGGCAGGAGTAGCCTATTCAGGTGTACATGCAGCACAACAAGAATCATCAGAGGAGGCAGCATTAGGTGTTGTGCCTGCAGTAACACAACAAGGGTTATCTTCTCCTGGGATGGAGTTGATGGGATCGGATCCCAGGATCGGTATGGGATCGGGGATCGAGTCTGGGGTCGGGGATCGTACGGTTGGGATCGATTCTGGGATCGTTTTGGGGGATGGGATCGTGTCTGGGATCGATAGACGGGCTGGGATCGAGTCTGCTGGGATCGGCACTTTAGGAAGTGGGATCGATTCTGGGATCGGTGGTGTCGTCTCTGGGATCGATTCTGGGATCGGTGGGATCGATTCTGGGATCGGTGGGATCGATTCTGGGATCGGTGGGGTATCTGGTATCGATACACCTATTTCTTCCCCTCTATTGGATGCAGGAGATTCCCCTGTCTCCCTTCCTCCTCATGTGTCTCCTCCTGTTGTCCCGTCACGACGTTTTTCTGCAACAATAAAGGAATTAAGTGTCCCTCTTTCTTTATTTAGTGCCTGTCTCCTTCTTTTGTTTGCTGTAGTTGCTGCTAATAAGAAAAGGGGAATAAAAAAGGCAAAAGAAGAAGAAGGAGACAAGACACAAGAACAACAACAGGAGCAGCAAAAGGAGGAGGAAAAAGAAGAAAAAAAAGGAGAAGAAGTAAATATTTCTTCTCCTTCTTTCCCTTTACCTCCTTTCTTATCCTCTGTTGATCATCTAATAAAAATATTTAATATTGAATTTACTGAGGAGACAATAAGGGAGACAAAAAAGGAGACAGGTTTCTTACAAGGAGACACAACAGCAGCAGGTACAGCAGCAGCAGCAGCAGCAGCAGAAGAAGAAGGAATAAAACAATTTATTAATTTTATTAATTATGTAAAAACAGCAAAAGAATTAAATAATATACCCAAGACAGAGGAAGAAAGAAAAAAAAGGGATTGGCTTCTTTTTTGCATGCAGTCTGCTCTCTTAGATAAGGCAGAGTTGCATGCGTTACGTCGTCTATCTACTCTCTCTATAAGAGACTTCCAGCAGCAGCAGCAGCAGCAGCAGCAGCAGCAGCAGCAGCAGCAGCAGCAGCATCAGCAGCAGTACATGGAGGATGGAGAGGTTGACCCCTTCATGCGCTTACAGCACCTACAGCAGCAGCAGCACCACCACCACCACCACTACCAGCAGGAGCAGGAGCAGCAGCAGGAGCAGCAGGAGCAGCAGCAGCAGCAGCAGCAGGGAGGATTATGGGGTAGTATAAGTGCAGATTTATTAGAGATGGCAAAGTTACGATTAGATGCAGCAACACAATGGCGTATATATCATGCTAATAAGGGAATATATCCATTTGCTGCTGCTGCTGCTAGACCTGCTGCTGCTGCTGCAGTTGCTGCTGCAGTTGCTGTTGCTAATGATTATAATCAATATCATCATAAAGATGATGATAATATACCTCCTGCTGCTGTTGCTGTTGATGCTCATGCTGCTGTTGCTGCGCTGCTGCATGCACAGGAGGTACACTATGCCCGTTATGTTAATAGATTAGAGGGGAGGGGCCCCCGTTCCTCCAAGAGGGCCCAAGGGTACACAGGAGACCCTAAGAAAAATTATTTCTCTTATAGCCAACAATTACCACCAGGAGACAATTGGATTGGATTATTAATTCATTAATTTATTCACCAGCAGTATCTCCTGCTGCTCCTGCTGCTCCTGCTGCTGCTGCTGCTTCTGCTGCTGCAGAAGCAGCAGCAGAAGAAAAAAGCAGAAAAAAATCATATCTTTATGTATATATTATTATTGTCTTTTTTATTTGTCCCCTTCTCTTCCTTATTTATATTATTATTATTTATTCCTTTTTATTTACTTGCTGCTGCTGCTGCTGCTGCTCTTATTAAATGCACGCTGCTGCATGTGGCAGCAACAGCAACAGCAGCAGCAACAGCAGCAGCAGCAGCAGCAGGCTGCTTCTTTAGTTCGCGCGAACATGACGTGCTTCTCTTTGCATGCGGGGCACCTCTTGCATCCTTATAACGCTACCTAGCAGCAGCAGCAGCAGCAGCAGCAGCAACAGCAACAGCAACAGCAACAGCAACAGCAACAGCAACAGCAGCAGCAACAGCAACAGCAACAGCAACAGCAGCAGCAGCAGCAGCAACGCTGTGCTGCAGGGAATTGCGTAGGAGTTATATAAAGTTATAAATAAAGAAAGAAATCTTTTCTTTCTTTTTATTGGCCTTTGTCTTGCCGCGTATATATACATATATAATATATATATAAATATATATAAATATATACAATATATATATATA